AGAGAGAGAGAGAGAGAGAGAGAGAGAGAGAGAGAGAGAGAGAGAGAGAAATTGGTTTTCTCTCAATGTGCCAGGACGAGTTTATCGCCGGGTTAGCAGGACCCTAATGCTCATTCATTCTTTCCTCCCACTCCCCCGCCCCACCGTGGTGTGTGTGTGTGTGTCTGTGTGTGTGTGTCTGTGTGTGTGTGTGTCTGTGTGTGTCTGTGTGAATTAAGAACAATAGCATGGTGTGTTTGAAAGCTGGTGGGATTACAGAAAGATGTGGGGGTGGGGAGACGTGAGAAACAAAAGGTCACCACCCTGCAGGGATTCAGCCATCTCTGGCTGTCTCGGCAGAGCTTGCCCTAAGGAACTCTCCAGGGGAGCATCCTGCCTCTAGCCTAGGAGCTTCCTGAGAAAGCTGCTGTCCCAGCACAGCCCAGGGCTGGCTCATGCTGACTCCCACTCCCCACCTCTAACCCCTGCCAGCCCTGGAGGTGTCTGTAGCAGCTACAAGGGCCATTTTTATTAATCTTATTTAATAAAGACTATGAGTGATTCTTGTAGATATCAAGTCAGTACTGAATTCTGGTGACTGGTTCCCCTTTATTCTGAGAGTCTAGCGTTTATCATGTAAATGTTCTCTAGCCTTCTACCCCTACTCTCCCACTTCCCCATCAGCCTTCTACCCCTACTCTCCCTCCTCCCCATTCTGCCTTTGCATTCCAGCTCTGGGAAAGGCCATTTGGTAAAATAGCTACTACAAGTTTCCTTTTTTGGAGCTCAGGGCAAACAACAAGGATCCCTTCTGCCCACAAGGTGCTGTATGGAGGAGCCCAGCTGTTCAGAGGGGCTGACCATGTGGGATGAGCTAGCTTAAGAGAGTCAAGGAGGCCATCTGAATTCTCTCCACTCAAGGGCTATGCCAGGCTGTGAATGTGCACACATGGCCTGCACACTTGGGTGTGCAAGAGTCTCTCCTAAGCAGGTTCTTCACAGTAGGTTCCAGTGACCTTAGGATTCATCACCGTAGGCGCTTGTGAACCTTGATGGGCAATAACATACCATCTGTCTAGAAATAGGAAAAGCATTAAGTATTCTGTCAGGGTTGGCTTCTGTTGAGAAGCCAAATAGAGAGTGCACACACCTGCAGTCCCAGCACTCGGGAGGCAGAGGCAGGAGGAGCGTGATCTTGGGTTGAAGGCCATTCCTAGGGTGGATAGTGAGTCCCCGCTTCAGACAAACACAACCACAGCAAAGCGTGAGACCAGCAAAAAAAAAAAATGACGCCTCACCCCCAATTCAAAAGCCTATCCTGGCTCCTCCTGAGCAGAGCTGTTCTTTGGTTGTGTTGTATAAATCGAATTCTCAGTGTGCAGAACTATCCCAGCATCAACTGTATTAGAAATAGTAAGTGATTCGCGGCCGGGCTCCCAGGGGGTTAGAGCTGGGAGGACTGATCTTTATGTTAATAGGGAGAGCACCTGCTTGAGCAATCTGGGAACACAGGTTTTCTTCCCACGGTGCTTTCTCCATGTGAATTAATCTGTTAGCTGGTATGTGTGTCAGTTTATTTAGGGACATGTGTGCTGACAATTGGCTTCTGACTGTAAAATATGGTCTTGGGGGAGATCATGATTAATTGCCTGCCTTACAGTGTGTGTATGTATGTGCGTTCGATGACAGGCATTATCAGTGTGCATGTGTCTATAAAACGAAAGGCAAGCAATCATTAAGATATCGGAAGTGTGAATAAACAGACAAGCGCTTGGAATTGTCTGAACTTTTGTTCTCTTCATGGCCACTGAAAAGTCTCTGCACCTCATAAGCCTCTCGGCCGAAGCAGCACTCCAAATCAAACTGAATTAGAAAAAGCCCAGGATGTTCCCGGATGATTTTCCAACACCCTCCCCCATCCCGGAAAAACCATGTGTTTGTTTTCTGGGGCCGGGGGAGGAGGGAGGGCAGCGTGTGTGTGTGTGTGTGTGTGTGTGTGTGTGTGTGTGTGTGTGTGTGGTGGGGGGGACAGTTTAAATATTCTGTGGGAGTGGTCTTGAGCATCTCTGGGGAGAAGCCCTGTTTACTGGGCTTTCTGAGATGAGACAGCAGGGTTTAGGGAGAAAGAGATGGCGGAGGGAGACTGAGGTTGTGCTTCTAGGAGAACTTTCCACACTCTTTGGGTACATGGATGCCAGGACCTGGGGTGGAGCCTAGGAGATCTTAATTCTCCTTGAATGTGTCATTTTCAGATCTAAGACAGGAGACATTTCATGGCGGAAATTTTTCCCTGCAGCACTCGGTACTACAGCAGCACACACCTTATTTAAAAGAAAGGGCTGCCGAGTGTGGAGGTAGCTGCTTGCCGTCCCAGCCATCTGGGTGCTAAGACAAGCTCCAGGCTTGAGTGGCATAGGGAGAGTCTAGTTCAAAACAACAAACAAGCAAAACACCCCAAGCAAAGCAGACCAGCTATGAAAGTAAACAGAAAGAGAGAAGTAGGGCTACATCTCAAAAGGATCTGTAGGGTAGCAAGTTGTTTGTTTTCTGGTTTTTGTTTCTGTCTTTGAAAGCTGCGAGTGGAGGTCAACCCTGGATTCAAAATCATAACAAGGTAGAGTTCTGTTGGTCTCTTGTTAGAACCCAGAACAACACACGACTGGATAATATAGTTCCCCTGGATAATATAGTTCCCCGCAAGACAAAATGTAGGCACTTTTCAGGCATGATTTCTGAATGAGATACAGAAACAAACAACGCAAGACGTAGCGTTGCTTCCTTATAAAACCATTATTATTTGCTGTTAATATTTGCTTTATTAGGAAAGCAAAAAATGCTATCAGAGAAAGTAAAATGTTGAGTTAAGAACTGGATGTTGTTAAAAGCTCACAGCATTGATAGACAGCTGGGTGCCTCTGCATCATAACTTTGGTCGGGGGTGGCATCCTGAAGACTCTTAATCTCAGCATCGGCATTCTCCATTGGAATATTACTGTAGCATCAGAATCCGAAGTGAATTTAAAGGGTGAAAAAATGGGAGCACACAGAAGTGGCCAGCTGAGAGGCCAGTCTCCCAGGATGTGCATGCAACAACCCTGTCTGAATGCTGAGTGCCTGGCACACTCCAGCTCACCTGATCCCTGGCTTGTTTAAGAGACTGGTCTTGGGAGGTGGATTTAATCGTCCTGTGGTTCTTCCAGGAGGAGAGACCTGGGGCTGGTCCCTCAATCAAGAGCACTGCCTGGGAAAGGAGAACATTGCTGAGATGAAGAGGGTGAACCGAAACCTGGAAGAGAAGGACAAATCATCTCTAAGTCCAGTAAGACCAGACAAGGCGGCAGCACAAAGGGCAGCAATGGCACTCCACCGGAGGCTGCCGCAGGGAGACCGTAAAAAGAGCAGCTTCCTGCAGACTAAGTGGTCAGGAGATTAACAGCGTTGCTGTGGCTCGATTAGGGCCAGGGTTCGGTGGGAAACCAGGCCCGGAGAAAGCTGGTGTTCAAGCGAAGCAGGCGTTGGCTGCCTCCAGTTCAGATGGGCTCCTTTTCTCGTTTTCCTGGGAGAAGTACTCAGATCTTTCAATCCCTCTGTTGTGGGAGTAACTTCCGCTGCCTCAACCAATAGTCGCTGAAATACGAGCCCACAGTGCAGCGGGGAGCGACTTCCGCTCCGTCAGCCAATAGCTGCTGAAATACCAGCCCACTGGGGCGTGGTATATTTCTCTTTTAAAAAGAGAAGCAGATTCGGATCAGGCTCTCTTGGTTCCGGCTCTTGGTTCCGGTGCTTGCTCCTGGCTCCTGCTCCTGGCTCCTGCTCCCGGCTCCTGCGACTTGGCTCCCTTCCTGACGGTTTATGGTGTATGTAAGTTTTACCCCCCAAAATAAATAACCCCTTAAAACATAACTGGTGTGGGATTGATTCGTCGATATCCCTCAGCGAATGTTTACTGGTGTCTACTAAGAGCTAAGTGGTAAGGAGCTGGAGATCAAAGGAGCAGCCCCTGCTCTGAAGGAGCTCTCCGTCTGGGAGCTGGCAAAGGGAGAGGAGAGGGGAACAGCCGAGCCTAATATTGCACAAGAGCCCTGTGGGCGGGAGGGCCACAGCTCTTGCTGTACAAGCCAGAGAAATATTTAGGCCTCCTGGAGGGAGCCAATGGCCAGGGCTAATTAGGCATTCTCCAGCAAATCGTGGAGGAACTGCCTTCTAGGCATAGAGAACAGTGAACTCAGGATGGAAAGGCATCTCCTCCATTGTCTGGGTAGATCGGGAGCACACTGGACATGGTGCTGAGACAGGACTCAGCAGTGGGTCAGCAGGTCTAGGAGAAGTAGCCAGAATGTTCGGATGGAGTTTCCTAAGCACAGAGGTGATAGCCAAGGGGAGCTAAGAGCAGCTGAGGCCTGCTTGATCAAGACTGGAAAGTGGGGTTTTGAGACGGGAAGGAAGGTGGCCTTGGCTTTCCTGGCAGGGTAGCCAAGGCCATCTGTGTGTGCACTGAGCAAGAGACTCGGAGGAGGGTACAAGAGGCTCCCTGGGAATTCCAGAGAGGAAATGAAAGGATTGCCATATTGTCATTATTTGAAATTCACAAAGACTTTCGCCCGCCACGTAACCGACTCTCACTGACACCCCAGCCCTACATCTGTTGATCTGCTTTTAAATGTGGTATGATCGGCCCTCCCCGTATCTGCAGAGATGTAAGTGCCAGGCGTGACAGTCCTGGAAAGGAGCCAAGGCATATTGATTACATACTGTCTGTCCTCTTGTCGGGGCTTGTTTGTTCCAGAGTCAAACGTCACCCAACAGGAAAGCTTCTTTATGGAACTCCAATCATGAGTCTTGGCGGGAGTTTGTTTGTGTTTGTACACATTAATGTATATTTAAAAGGGAGTCCCCCATCTTCTTAAATCTCAAAGAGAAGAATCATACAGAAGATGCTGCGTGGCTGGCTCAAAGTACCCTTGTCTGAACACTGATTTATAGCACTGCTGACCCTTAGCTTTGGGTGAAGCATCTCCTAAACTCCAGCTGGGGTGATGAGCCCCTGAAACACACACAGCTATGGTGATGAGCCCCCCAACACGCACAGCTAGGGTCATGAACCCCCCACCCCACAGCTAGGGTGATGAACCCCCCAAAACACACAGCTGGGGTGATGAGCCCCCCCACATCTAGGGTCATAACCATCCCCCAACACACACAGCTAAGGTGATAAGCCTCATCCACACATACTGCTGAATGTGGTATATCACTGTGTGGTGTATGTGCACGTGTGTATACAGAGATATGTACCTATGTTTGTGTGTGTCTGCACAGAGGCACGAGGAAGGTGCTGGATGCTTTGTCCTGTCAATCTCTACCTTATTCCCTTGAGGTCTCTCACTGAATCTTGAGGAGGGCTTGTACCCTGCAAGTCTCCGTAATCCCCCTGTCTCCATGCTCTGCATCACTGGGGTTACAGTTGTGTGGAGTCAAGATCAGCGCAGGGTGCTGGGATCCTGACTTAGGCTCTCATACTTATGGAGCCGACATTTACCCACTCAACTATCTCTCACATCACACCACCATTTAGGTCCAAATAAGCAGTTTCAGACAATAATTCTTAACTCTCTTTTTGTATTTAGCTTGCATAGTGAACTTGGCTAAGTGAATTTTGTAAGTTCCTGAAAAGCTGCGTCAGCTGAGGGGATCCACTTGTTCTACTATGGCCAGAGGGGCCAGAATATGAGAAAATTAACACATAGGGAGTCTGAGGGAGTCCAAGGGAGTCCGAGAAAGTCTGAGGGAGAGAGCACAGATGGCAAATAGAACAGGTGTTGAAGGAGATGACTGACATTTGACTTTATTTATGGTAGTTTTTAAAAATATATTTTATTTATTTTTATGTGCATTAGTGTTTTGTCTGCATGTGTGTCTGTGTGAGGATACCAGATTCTCTAGAACTGGAGTCACAGTCAGTTGTGAACTGCCACGTGGGTGCTGGAAATTGAACCTGGGTCCTCTGGAAGAGTAGCTAGTACTCTTAACCACTGAGCCACCTCTGTAGCCCCATCCATGGTAGTTTGCCATGGTACTTAGATTATTTTTAGCAAGCATTTAAATAGAATAAAATTTATTTCACTTTCTCCCCCCCCTCTCTCTCTTTCACACACACACACACACACACACACACACACACACACACACAAAGAAGAAGAAAAGCCTTTTCAGAAGAACAATATAACCTATTGATGTAGATTTGTGACTTGACATGGGAGTAATACCCCCTCTCACCTCTGTCTCTCACCACTATCCCAAGAATGTCCAGGTCCTGTTACCTTACAGGGCACAGTTCTCATCAGGCTAAAGATCTATCGATCTGTCTGTCTATCTGTCTGTCTGTCTATCTATCTATCTATCTATCTATCGATCTTTGGTTTTTTGAGACAGAGTTTCTCTGTGTGTCTCTGGCTGTCCTGGAACTTGCTCTGTAGACCAAGCTGGCCTCAGACTCACAGAGATCCTCCTGCCTCCACCTCCCAAGTACTGGGATTAAAGAAAGAAAGGCATGTGTCACCACCGCCTGGCCAGGCTAAAGATTTTGAGGAAAGAGTTTTCTGATGTGATCTGGCTGGATCCATGCAATCACAAAGGAGGAAGGTAGGAATGTTAGGAAGGCAGACAGGGGTGGGAGCTGAGGGTCAGGAGATGAACATACAGATGCCGAGGTCAGAGTGATGATGCCATGGCTGGAAGGAGGTGTCAGTCAAAGGAAGCAGGCATCCAGAAATTGAATAAGACAAGAATGAGTCTCTGCAGAAGCCTCTAGAACAAAAGCAGTTCGCTAACATCCTTACTTTGGCCCCTAGCACCATACTGTCCATCGGACCTCACTATGTTAAAGTCATGTTGCTTCAAGTCATTATGTTTGGAGCCATTTCTTATATCAGTGGCAGGAGACAAATGCAAACCTAGCGAGTGGTCCTGACCCACTGCATCCCAGCTGTGCTGCATCCCAGCTGTGCTCTTAATTTCTTAGGCGATCTTCATTCACTTTAAATTCCTTCATTTGTAAGCTGTGTCTCTGCGTGGAACCCAGCGTCTCGAACACGCCAGACAAGGGCTCTACCCTTGAATCCCGCCCCTGTCCTGTAATTGCTTCTAATCACCCTCTATTTTAGATGCAAGCTCCCTGAGAGGAAGAATGGCCCTATTCTGTCTTTGTGTCTCTGAGCTGGACACAGTGCTGGATATGGACTAGGAGCACCACCATTGGTTGAGTGAGCGGTCAAATCAGCGCCTGAAGGGGAATTTTCAAGTGGATCAAAAAGAGCTGTGACTGTCCCCTTTGGTCTGGTAAGATTTGGGGGCACTCTTTGAAGACAACAATCTTGGATAAAAATGACTCACAGGAGAATGTGAGAGAGGGCCTGTTATTCCAACAGCTACTTGATTCTAGCTCTTTATTCTTTTTCTTTTCTTTTCTTTTTTAGTTTTTTTGAGACAGAGTTTCTCTGTAGCTTCAGAGCCTGTCCTGGAACTCGCTCTGTAGACCAGATAGGCCTCCGTCTCACAGAGATCCGCCTATCTCTCTCTCCAGAGTGCTGGGTTTAAAAACCGCCACCACTGCCCAGCTTCCAGATGTTTTCTTCTCTTATATGGAGACTGCTGAAGTCTCGCAAGAATGGGGGGCACACATGGGTGGGTGTGGGTAACTGACCTTGAGTGGGCTATGAAGCTTTTCGTGGAGACTAAGCCAAACAATAACCTTTCTGAGCTTTGTCCAAATCACAGGGCCTGAGTATTTTTTGCATGAAGTCTTTCCCACATGAGTGGATTCTCCTCCAGCGCTCTGAGCCTCACAGAGCTCCATCAACCTTCTGCTCTCAGGGCCCAACCTTGATGCAGCCTTCACAGGGCCTGTCGTCTCTAGGATGACTTCTGTTTGGATGCTGGCTGCTCGGTGACCTGTTGGCCTAGCTCCAGTGAGCCCTGCCATCTCTGCTGAACTTGATACCAATAAAAGGTGAGCTCTAGAGAGAATTTTGCTTCTTAGTTTTTTTTGTTGTTGTTGTTTGTTTCCCTCTTTGGTTCTTGCTGGGGTTCCCGTGGAAACTAGAGGGTGTACCGTGAACTCACAATTTTGGTTTTCCTGTGTAAGCAGTTCTTGGGGTCCTCTGCCAGAGCAGAAAGTCTCTTCGTCATCCCCACGCTGATTCTTCCCTCTTTCTTTGTTTCTCCGCCTTCCCCTTCTCTCCTTATGGAATTCTGCTTTCCCCAGCATTTCCCTTGGGGCATAACCACCCCCAGCACCCACCCTACCCCCATCCCCACCCTCTGCGTCTGCTTCCTCCTGATCCAGCTTGCCTTTGTTCCTGCTGTTGAGGAGCTAGCTGGTCGGGAGTTCACGCCACACACGCCACACATTTTCACGGTGAAGACAACTTCTTTTTCAAAGAGGTCCCTGGGCGTTCAAATATTTCTAAGATGAAGCAAGCACCAGAGGAAGACACAGGGAGGGTGTGAGTCTGTCGCTGCACAGGTCCCCCGAGGTGAGAATGCTGGATGCCCACTTCCTCTTCTGCCAGGATAGTGACAGCTCTCTCAAAAACACATACGGGACAGAAAGACTGGTTTTCTCTGTCAGATGAAGGAATTTCCATAAATATAATTAAAATAATGTGGAAGGCATATCTGGCCCACACAATTGAAACCAGGGACTTAGCAGATATTTATATACCCGCAGACACAGTGAGCAGTGCTAGTAGACGTGGTGGAAAGAACCTAAACACCAGCAGAAGAGATTAGATTTGAATGGATAAGCAAATTTGGCATATGCATACAATGCGATATTAGCCTTAGAAAAGAATGAAATTCTGATGCAGGCTACAGCATGAATCAACTTTGAATATATTTGGTGAGTGAAGTAAGCCAGATACGAAAAGATGGCTACTGTGTCATTTCTCCTGTATGAGAGACCCAGAGCTGTCAGACTCATAGAATGTAGAGTGGTGGTCACCAGAGGCCTGGGAGAGGGACACGGAGTTACTGTCTAAGGCATCAGCATTGCTGCTCAAAGAGACGATTGCATACGCACGCGCATACGCTTAATCATCCAGTGTTAATCTTTGAGTTTCAGCAGAACTGAACTGCACACTTAAAATGGCGAGATTGGTAAAGCTGTCCTTTCACCACAATAGACAAATATAACAACCAGCAGCGTGGATATCACAGTTTCTCCATAATTCACTTTTCTTTTTGATTCAGGGTACAGAGCAAAGAATCAAAAGATGTACAAAGATGATTGGAGGTTCACCTACCAACGTAGCTGTTGTTTGTGTCTTCTTTCTACACCACGTTGCTCACAAAGCTTATTAATAACACTGAAGCACACCTTCCTTCTAAGTAATTTCTCCCCTTTTGTACACCAGCCTAGGAAAGAAAACACCTTTATTGAGGCAAATACATGCTTGCCAAAGTTACCAAAACAAACCCTGTGACTGTGGCAACCCTTGGAACTGGGCTGGGAAACCTGGATTTTGCAATTCTTATACACACACTGAATGACACGTCTTGTCCTGGGCTCCCTGACTTCATACAGGAAGTATGTGACCTCCAGGTCCCCGGGCTCTCTGAAAGGGAACTTTGACAGGGACCAAACGAGCACTGGGATTCCTCTCAGCTCAGGTAATTTTTGTGGCTGATAGTTGGGTTAAAGTTTTGAAAAACAAATACCACCTGCTTGCTTAACCTGAGAACGGGAGCTCGGGTGGAATGAACTCAAATTTGATGGCCAGACGCCCTGAGTGCTTGGCAGACTTATAGGGTGATTTTTAGTGAGTCATTTTGACATTCTGTGTCTGCATGCCACAGGGGAATTTAGGGTTGAAAGTGGCCCCCTCACACCTGCCAATTTTCTTAGGGTGACCCAGGTTAAATTTCTCTCTGCAGTTTGGGGAACAGGCGTGGGATGAAACACACGTACCAGCTCCATTGTGACATAAAATCCAAACAACATGAAATCACAAAACCTGTAAGACACTGCTTTCTTTGACCTATTTCAAATATCACATTGGGATTTAGTCCCTTCCTCTTTACTGCTCTCTTTCCCCTCTTTTCTTCCCTTCCTGCTATTCTCCTTCTTTCTTTGATTTTCCATTATTTTTTTGCAGTTCATGCATCTTGAGTGTTACACTCTTGCCCATTGATGTCTTCCAGAGCTACACATGCATAACTCCAGTGTGTATGCGCATGCACACACACACATGCCATACACATACATACACACACGCACATGCACACAAATGTGCTCATGAATACATGAACACTCACACGCACTCATGCACAGCCATACACACACCAAATTGCTCTCTGTCTCGCTTTTCTTGCAAGCCTTCAGGCATGGATCATAGGTAGCTACAAGATTATATTATGGAAAATGAAAGGAGTTGGCAAATAGATGGTTGATCAAAGCTACTTGAGAACAGAAAAGATAGAGATGGCATAGTAACGAGCCCACTCTTAACACTTTCCTAGAGTTCTCTTCAGCTGCTACACACAAAAGCCAGGTCTTTGGCCTTGCCAAATACTAGGCCTCCTGAGGAGCCCAAAGTGGGGAACAAGAAAGCATGCTATGTCTATGCTTTCTTTTCTGAGGCAGGTCTAGAGTTCTGCTTGGGAAATACTGTATGTCTGAGGAGCTAGGTGACAGGCCGAGGCTGCAGGGAGAACCTTCCTGCCGCTGTGAGGAAGAAAGCCCAGCTTATTGGTTTCTTTTTGTGTCGTTGACTGGACTCAGGTTGGCGTGATCATCTAAGAGGGTGAGATTTTGTTGGGGAGCACAGGTAGATGAACAACTGGCAAAAAAAAAAATAATTGTAAAATTTGAAATGTTGCTAAACATCAATAGCAAAAGCTATTGTAATGATGATGTCATTATAGCTAAGAGACCAGCTAACTATTTATACCGAGTGTGTTTTGAATCCTGTGATACATTGCTGCTTTCTTCGTGCTACACTCGGGCGACAGCTACAATTGTTATGGGCAATATACAGGGCATCCCCCCATGGAGAGATAAGGCGATTCTCATCAAAGCCCTGAAGTGACCGTTTGAACAGATATCCACTATTCATGAGTTGGGCAGCTCCGAACTGCCGGTGGCTTGCAGCTCCAGTCAAGGGTGGGAGTGGGGTGGGGGTCGTACGGAAGTATTGAAGCACAGTGAAGATGTGACTGTCCAAAGTGGGGGCAGTGGCCATCAGTCCCTGGTTAGAGGCTAGCAGGCCCTTTCTGAGGGATAAAGCAAGTCTCAGCGCCCGGCTGTGATCCTTCCTGCTGAGTCGACTTTCTTGCTTAGATAGCATCCCAGGACACCGCAACTGCCTCAGCCTAATGACCGCCCGTTCAATTATCCTAACACTCCATTTTACATAGGGCAGCTCCAAGAAGCTCTTTACCTGAAGACTGGATGACTAAGAGACAGATGCTTCATTATATAGCCATTAAACTGCCTGCTTTGACTCTATTAATATTCTTGCTCCTCGTATCTGACCGAGATGCCGCTCGATCCACGGTCACTATCACCAACCAAGTGTCGCGTTGTTGGGAAAAGATCTCTAGCTGTAGGGAGAAGAGGGGGACAGACAGTCTTCTGTTCTGACGTGGTGACCAGTGAAGGTGGCAGGCCTCCCTTCCCATAGGCTGGTCGCGCTGACAACATCCGACAGGCATGTTTTAATTTAATTAGGTTGAGGAGGTAAGAAAGAGCAGTTTTGGGGTGTGGTTTTCTTGGGGTGGTGTGGAGATGCATAAAGGCATTTTTTTAAATGGTGTTTTAGTTGGGCAATTACAGAGGTTGAGTAATTTAGTGTTTTGGATGGGAAAAGTCAACATTACAGTCGGGGATGAGGATACGGGCTGCCAGGCAAAGAGGACGGCGCAGTTGATGGGTACCTCCCGCTGGGAGACCCAGCCGCTAACAAGCATCCTCCTGGCACTGTCTGGGTGATTCTTGTTCTTTCCCACTCTCCCTGCTGTGTGCCCTGGGTACTTGGCACATGAGGAGTGTGTTCCGAAAGTCAGATGTGGGTTGATGTAAGAAAGAAAATGAAACAAGTAGAAGGTATTTTGCATTTCAGGTTTTCGCCCTGTGCCGGCTAGTTTTATGTCAACTCGACACAATCTGTAGTCATCTGAGAGGAGGGAACCTCAATTTAAAAAATTATTCCATAAAATATGGTTGTAGGGTATTTTCTTAATTAGTGGCTGATGGGGGAGGGCCCAGTCCATCGTGGGTGGTTCTATCCCTAGGCCAGTGGTAAGGGTTCTATAAGAAAGCAAGCTGAGCAAGCCATGAAGAGCAAGCCAATAAGCAGTATCCCTCCATGGCCTCTGCATCAGTTCTTGTCTCCAGATTTCTGCTCTGCTTGAGTTCCTGTCCTGAGTTCCCTCAGTGATGGATTGAAACCTGGAAGCATAAGAAAAATAAATCTTTTCCTTCCCAAGTTGCTTTTGGTTATGGTGTTTCATCACGACAATAGGCCCTAACTACAATACTTCTCAGTAGCAAGCTATCTCTCTTCCTGTCTCTCTCTCTCTCTTCCTCCCTCCCCTCCCTCCCCCTCTCTCTCTCTCTCTCTTTCTCTCTCTCTCTCTGTGTGTGTGTGTGTGTGGTATCTACAAAGTCCACAAGTTGCTGACTAATTGTTAATTGTTTCAGGAAAACTTATTCTGAACTCTGGACAGTGAAAGGAGCAGATATAGGATTTGATTTTAGAGGCCCCCTCCCCCTTAAACTAGAGATCCTAGATCTAGCAGCATTTTTATTTGTAAATAAAGCTTTATTGGCAACCAGCTGGGATCATTTGCTTGTGTATCACCTAATTCTATTTGCCCTTCAATGGCAGTGTGAATACTTACAGCAGCAGTCATATGACCAAACTGTTTGTTACCTGACTTTCACAGGAAGAGATTGTGGGTTCCTGCCTTTGACTATTATGCCGTCTCTCAAGAACTAAGATCTTGGAGCAAAAAACAACCATAGGAATCATCTTGTCTCTTTTTCACAGACAAGGGAAGCAAATTCTTTTATTGCCACAGCCAGTTTAATATTGTATTTTAAAAGAAGATGGGAAAACTGAATGTAATTTGAAGAAAATCAACAGTTATGACATGCCCTTAAGGAGAGTCAAGCTTTAAGATAGATTGGAAAGCTAACATTGTGACAATGGCCTCCAGGCTATTCAAAAAGTCGGCAGACGCTTAGTATTTTCTATCTCCATATAGAAAAGTTCCTCCCCCCACCCACCGACCAATTTGAATGGTTCATATATTGGAATCAGGTTTCCGAGGATGATTAGAGCCTGTAGATCTTTAAAACAGCGTAGGAACAGCTGTTCCAAATGACACAAGCTGAGAATGGCCACTATTGCCAGACAGCTCCCCAACTCGGCTTTTTTCTGTACCAAACAGTTGGAAACCAGGTACAGGTATCGTAGAAGTACATGAAGATCCATATGCAAGTACATACATGTGTATGATTGTTACATATGTAACCTTGACTACACGCAAAATCATCTGGAGGCTGGGGAGTTGCCTGCCAAACATGGTAGAAGCATCTAGCATATGAGATGAAGGACCCCTTGACGATTGGGGTTCTGAAAGCAGTGATAGAGCTATTACTGTAGGCCTTAAGGAACATCTTCAGTCATAATTTCTAGCACTTGTAGATTCAAGGGAAAAATGTGCAAAATATCAATTTGTCACAGTACATGTCATGGCCTAATGCAGTCACTATTAATGGAAGTCAGCTTCACAATTGTTGAACGTTTCTCGGTGGGAAGTTTTTCTAACTCTCAGATGCTACAAGCATTGCTGGGCGCTGCAGAAAGATGAACACATCCTGTGCTCTGCATGTTTGTAGACGAAAGCAGCCTGTGCACTGTATGCATGCAGACTAAAGCATCCTGTGCATTGTATGTAGACTAAAGCATCCTTTGCACTGCATGTATGTAGACTAAAGCACCCTATGCATTGTATATATGCAGACTAAAGCATCCTTTGCACTGCATGTAGACTGAAACATCCTGTGTGCTCATATAGACCGGAGTGTCCTTTGTACTGCTTGTAGACTAAACGGGAAATACACAGTGACTTTATCTTAACCATGAGCTCTGAAGGGTAAGAACTATGTATAAATCTCACTATTCCCTGTTCTTAGCATAGCCTTGCACATTGTAGATACAGGAAAAACAATCCTTTTGGAGCAATGGGAGCAGAGCTGTTGTATCAAGTGTGCACTAAGCATATATTCAGAGAAAGCAGGACCACTGCGAGCTAATTAACACTCTTCTGCTGTCTGGGAGACAGTTACTTCCAGGTCTTGGTCTTACACTCTCCTGCCGTTCCCACAGCTCTCGCAAGTTCATCTCGGTTTGGATCCGCCCACAGGTAGCCACCACACTTCAACTGTGTATTTCTACAAGTCCACACTGTGTCTGGACAATCATGCTTGGAATTTATATTGAGCCTTTCATCTTTGAAGTTCAATGTTCTGGCTCTAATCTTTATGACTTCTTAGTGAAGTAGGAAGTCATTGTTTTGATTTTAATTTTACAGGCAGAGGTGTGAACATGTGACAGACATCCAGGTTCAAGGGTCTGTTCAGAAGCCCTGTATGAGTCAAAGCTGAGGTGGGAACAGAAATGGACATTTTGCAACCCTAAACTGAAGTTTCCGTTTTCGCTCTTTTTCAATTCAAAGGCAGTGTGTCTTTGTCTCCCCTTTCTCTACCCCGTAGGAAAGAGAAATGAGCAATGATTCTAGTTCATTCCAAATACATTTAAAGACAGAGATGAAAATCAAGCTGCAAAGTCTAAATTTTCTAAAATCTTTTCTGAAGTACTTCTAATGTCTTTAGACCAACTGGTGGTTTTAACTTAACTTGAAGATATATATAATCATTTCTCCCTTGGCCTGGCTGGTCTTAAGGTAGCTAATTGTCAACTGTCCACGATTTCATAGGCTTACTTTGCCCTGATTACCAGCCACATGGAGGCTCTAGGCAGAGTGCCTTTTCTCTTCTAATGCAGCAACAACATTTTCAAACTCAAGACTTTATAATTAAGGCGCGACGATTATTTGCAGGACAGTACAGGGTTGTAATGCAGTTTGAAAACAAGTCTCTATGAATGGTAATAAAACCTAAGCGGGGGCTGGACAGGCCCATGAAAGAATTCATTTTAGACGAACCCGAAATATCTGCCTCCTTGAAGTATCTCGTTAGCATTTATCAAGCAGTTAATAGTCTCAAAACACTTGACAGTTAATCCATGGAACATCCTTTGTAGATAATTAAATATTCTGATCTGAACTTCCAGAAGCAGACACACCAAGCAGCCATGAGACTTGACCGGAAGGACAAGACAGGAAGCCGGTGTCGAAATAGGCGATCAATAGCTGCCTGTTCCTTGGAGAGATGCCTGTCTGTACAGCTCTTCAGGACACTCTTTCAGAGCCACGGTGAAAACCCAGTCAAGAAGAAAACTTTTTTTTTTTTACTTTCACAAACTCATATTTGGTTCAATAAAAATGCACTTAACTTACATAAAAAGTATCCTTCTGCCAGACTTATTTGTGGAGACTAAGTAGGATGTTACCCACTCACTGGGTGAGCTTGGAGGTACAGGAACTTGGGCCCCCTCGCCTCATGCATTCTGAGGATCCTTGGGACATCTAAGTGCATTTGCTGGAGGTCTAACTGCGTTGCAGAAGGATCCTTGCTCCAGTTCCTACAGCACCAGCGCCATATTTGGAAACCCTCTGTACTGTGGTGCTGAGGAGAAGTATTGACAACATTATCCTGAGACATTTTTTAAACGAGATGAATGATTTCTTTCTTTTGTAGACTCACTTCATACCCTTCTCTCTACTTCCATATTTCTTTAGTAGTACTTTATATTGATAATGCACAGAGATCCAGTAGAGATTTTTATAGTGCATGCACCAAGATAAGACATAATCAATATATGAAGAAGGCTTAGAACAAGTGAGCATTTTCAACTTTGGAGGAATGGTAAAAACTTACACTTTTTCTTACATCTAGTTTTACTTGAAATTTTGTTTTGTTTTGTGTCGAGACAGGGTTTCTCTGTGTAGCCCTGGCTGTCCTGGAGCTCCCTCTGTAGACCAGGCTGGCCTCAAACTCAGAGATCAGCCTGCCTCTGTCTCCTGAGTGCTGGGATTAAAGGCATGAGCCACCACAGCCTGGTAAAAGATTTTTAACAACACTAAATGTAGGCAAACACATATACTGCTGGACCCAGAGCCTGGGTGTGCTAGGCAAGAGCTTTACTACCGAGTCCCATTCCCCGCCCCCCTTTTAAGGCAGGGTCTCACTGTGTAGTTTGAACTGGCTTCCAACTCCAAGGCTTCCTGCCTCTGCCTGTAAGTGCTGGGGTTACAGGTGACTCCATTATGCCTGGCTCTAATTTTTTTGTTTTCATTTTTTGTTTTTTTCAGTGTGATTAAATTGTGACTTGAAAACAACCCTGGAGACAGAATTTTATAAAACAGTGTTAACCCGGAGAAGGAAAGGTTTCCTTTGACTGTTATTTTCTGAGGGGTCAGTTTTTTTCTCTTTAAGTTTTTATTTTTATGGTATAGAAAATATGTTCAGTTAACAATTTCTGACAAAGCCATGTCAGTGATGATGTTAGCAAGTCCCTCGTGTGTCACCTGTTGCTCCGACAGCATTGTCACTAGACATCCACCGAGAAGCTCGCTAGCGCCACCGTCTCCATTTTGTGGCTGGATGAAAGTGAGGCGCAGAGAAACACACAGCAAGAAGGTCAGGCACTAATTTGCCGGAAGTCATGATCTGAACAGGGCAATTCAGCTCCAGGCTGTTAACCAGTGTTTATAACAGTCGCCAAACAACCCTTTTGATCCCAGGGTGAAGCGGGAATGTTGAAGACCCACGTCACAGGATAATAGACTGTCTTGAGGAAGGCGTTTTCAGTGAGGAAAGCCAGCAGAATTGACTTTGATTATAAAATATTTTCAACGTGAATAGTTACTCCAGTCAGCAAGGATGCTTTCGCTCTGGGTCACCCAACGGTCTGAATGATGGGGCGAGGGTCTGTCCTTCCCGCTGGCATTGATAAGAGAAGACAGGAGTACAGTGGAGAACGGTGTGAAGACCGGAAGCAGTAACTGTGGCTTCCAATGGCTTCCGTCCTTCCTGGGCCAGATGGTTTTCCTGTACTGCATTAACACATACATCTACATGTGACATTTGCATGACAGAGGATTTCAAAGGCCACATGCTACACATCACAGCATTTGGAACGGGTGCTGACCAGGAACAGCCTCCCTGAGGCGGCCTCTTTACAAACTGCAGAGACAGGCTTTTCAAAGGAAAAGAAGCCCTGGGAAGCGGAGTCTGGGAAAATCTGAAACTGAGCCCAGCTGGCCTTGCTGTGAGAGGCCTTATCTCTCAGAGCCAGGGATGAAAGGTGAGAGGCAAGACCACCTCTTTCTGCTTATTTCCACGCCCCTGTCCTCTCTGTGACGCTTTGTCCCCAGAGTTGCCCTATTCTATTTCTATTGCGCCTCCTTCCTGCTCTCTCTGAGTCTGAGGCAGCCTGCTCACCAGCAGGCTGCTCTGGCAGAAATGCAGAAACATCGTAGACCCCTGGAGGCGGGCAGGGTCCCAGAGCAATAATGCACTAGCAATAGATGCTAGCATCATGGAATCTGTGCTAGCAGAAGCTGGATTCTGCAGAGTCAGGCAGGGCTGCGACTCCAGGCTGGAAGAGCAGTGCACACTTTGCAGAGGGAGGCATGGCTAGCTTCATTTCTGGGACCTGTTTACGTGCTTATTGTATTATTTAAAAACCAACTCTAGTGTTTTATCCCTTTCCTGAGATATTTGTTATGTTATTTACAGTAGATCTTATTATTGGAATCATCTAGAATAGCTTTTCCTCCCCTCCCCCTCTCCCTATCTTTCTCTCTTCCTCCTTCCTTCTTCCCTCCCTCCTTCCTTCTTCCCTCCCTCCTTCCTTCCTTTCTTCTGTTCCTCCTCCATTTTTTGCTGGAGAGTCTAGACTTCTGTATACCACCAATTACTGAAGAAAAAGAAAGTAAGAATTGAGGGAAAGGTAAATGCATGATTGTATAAAATGAAAAGCAACGAATTGTTTCTGGGTTGCCAGATTTTATACATTTGCTGAATAAAATTGTTGGGACAAACAAGTATCATTTCCTCTCATTGTTTCACAGATGAAAGGGTGATGTAACCACATAGAATGGGAAGCAGCAGCATCCTTCCTCAGAAACAATGCCTCGCAATCTTGAGCCTACTCACCCATTTATAAAGAAGTATTTAAAAATGCATGAATGTAAGAAAATGATCAAGTACAGTTTTAGTACTTTAGGTGATGAACACACCCTTCAGACACTTGCTTTTGCTGGAGGATTATCAGATTTAATCTACAACATGAAGGGGAGTTCAGATGTCCGGCTCCTGGGAACGATTTAAAAAGTCATGCTCAGTGCTCCACGTCTTCCCTCCCATAACACGTAAGAGGAGGTGTGAGTCCATCCAAGGTGGGATATGCTAGGCAGGGTGATACTCGATGCCCGAGGCTCCAAAATAATTTGGAATCATTCTCCCACTGATAATGCCTAGTCTGTACCTTGAGAATCTGGGTGGGTGCTAGTCATAGGGTCAGGGGCGGGGGAATCTAATAGGTGCGGTGGTAGCAGATCTCAGCTTTGTTTCGACCCATCTGAACAATTAAATGTTGCCTTTGACCTTGGAAAACCTGCTTCACAAACCCCAGGCCCCTTAGTTAGTGAACTCTGTTCCTTTGAGGACAACCGGGAGGCATCTGTTGTTCCTTGAAAATGTGCTCTGGAGTCTGCGCCATTCCACTCAACACGGTAAAGACAGTTTTCTTTATACTCTTTCATCTTTCATGACTCTAGGTGCTCCTGTACTATCCTTACCAGGCACCCAGGAACAATGTTCTGCTTCACAGGGTTCCGTTTGGTGTGAGCCCCAAGTCAAGAAATAGGAGCGTTCCCCATACCAGCTCGTCCGCTGGCTCCCCCTCCCTGCATGGAATTTGAATTGCCAGTGGCAGCCTCAGGCGATGGGGAGGGATCTAAAGGGAAGCTGGGACCCTCGTGCAAGAGACAGGTGTCATAGGTTGGCCCTCCTCAGGATAGACAGACACCACCTAGGAGAGGCCAGCCAGGGGCAGATATCGCCGTCTCTGCCTGCTTCAGCTGTGAACCAGGATTTGAGGATTACTACTTAGATGCTGTTATGCCCCCCTTACATTTCCCTAGGTGACATCCCAAACTCCAATACCTCAGAGCGCAGGTGCAGATATAATTAGGAGAGCTGAGCTCACATCCTTGAAGCTGGTTTCTAGATGGGCACAGCTACGCTCTTTGTTCCCTTTTCATCTACATGCTTTGCTGGTACGGCTGTGACTGCCCCTAGACCAGAAGGATGCTCTGGGAATTAGTATGAAAGCGCACACATGCCTTTTTGCTTTCCGTTTAGAAGCCCCCTAACTCAGGCATCTGTGGCGATGAGCTCTTCTGATTGGGCTGGGGTTACTCAGAAATAGATGAGTGTTCCCTCGATAGTAGGTCATGGGAGAATACTCTAGACCACGGCATGATTAACAAGAATGAAATTCTCGGGAGTCTAGTAGAGATTCAAATGAATGGGAAGCAAGGGCCACGCCTAAAGTTGCTCTAATTGGCCTTCACCCAGATGCGAAAGCTTGTAAACTTCAAAGAGCAAGGCAAACATTTGTTGATTTCCTGAACAAGTTTGTGGGAAACATCTTTGCCCTTGTTCTCCAGAATGGCACCTTAGGCGGTAAGGTGGGCATTTTACAGCTGCGGTGCCCACAGGCCCAAATCAAGTTTCCTCAGCAAGTTTCCCCTCCCGAGCTTTCAGTTGTTCTCAGTGCCAAAGATTGAGGCACATCTGAGAGCAGGGGTAGGGGAGGGGAGGCAGGGGAGGAGAAGGATGGGTGGGGAGTGTGTTGGTAAAACAAGAGGCAGCGTTTTTAAATGTCCGGGGTTCCGGCAACGTTGCTCCCTCCTCCTCCTCCTCGGAGGTTAGTATGTTTAATTATTAAACACAGAAGCTTCATCAACCTTTGGACTCCTTGGAGACAACCAGCAATTATCTCAGATTCTGTTCCCACTGCCACCCCTCCCCAACTTCAAAGGGAACTCATTACCAGGTCCCAAATTCTTCAAATTACTTTCCCATCATCTCAAATGATGTTTCTAAGTAGTTCATAATGAGAGTCTAATCTACCCTTCAGATTACCAAAGAATCTCACAGAAGATGGACTGCGATAAAATTATCCCAACTTGAGGTGATTATCTTCGGATCATTCCTTCCAACAAGATCTTAGTCACTGGTTTGTTAGAATTTTGGGAGCTATTTTATGTACATATATTTACAAGAATAATTTATACAGACTTCTCCCTGGCTCTTATTTGCAAATTAACATCCAAATGAGGCTTCTCAAAATGAGCTATTTTATGTCTTGCAGATGAATAATTAAA